GGGGGGCAGTGGGAGATTTCAGATGGACCAAAGAGGTGGACATGGGTGCAAGACGGGGGTATGGTACCCACATAAGAGATACTAGTACTTCAATCAAAACCAGACCAGATGCCAAACAGGATCAAAATAAATCAAGCAACTTAGTTTTCCTACGTTTTGCATCTGTTACAAGTTTTCCCATACTTGGCAAATATGGTTACACCTTTTCCAATGCTTTGCACCAGAAAATGTTTTCCAGCACTTAGCAACAGTTTGATACATGTATTCCCACTACAGGATTTTTTTGTCAGTTCTGACTGAGTCATGAGGTAGGCATTTTTTCTGATACCCAGACATGATTATATTGAAAGTCACTAAAAATTCTGAAATAACAGTAACTGGGGATACCAAGGTTAAACTATCACACAAGGTCAGCCAATTTCTGACTAATATCTTAATAAAGTTACCTGAAATTATATCCTGGTGCAATTGGAGATTCAGCATCATCTAGTCTGAAAAGAAGTCAGGAGAAAATTATCTCAGAATAAGAAACAAAACATTTGACAGTTGAACAATTCACTTTTGAAGGACAGTTAACCACTAGTCTAATAATACTGTAAATTGTTGTGACAAATCCGAGAGAAATTGTCTACACCTGGATCTACACCTGGACTTCTGCTAACAAACATCTCCTGATAGTGGACATCAGTGATTTATCTTCTGACTAACAAACATTTTACAAACTCTCATGAATGGAAATGGATGCCCATTTTGCAGAATGGCTGGTAAGACTAGTCTCCTGTTCAGGGAGAGGTTAGAAGATCAATATTGACTGCATTTATTTACCTCCTGAAGGAATACTTGGGCTGACAAGAATAAGTTAAAGGATCAAAATCACAGTCCCAGTTGATAATGATGGCCATTACACCACCCTGCCAGAGAGAACAAAATCAAAAATAAAGCACACACATCACTCAAACAAATCATCCTTATGCAAAAAAGGTATGTAATGCTTTCTCGTGTTACACCTTGGGATATCTACGGGTACAATACAAACTCACAACCTGACCAGCCCCCAGTTGGCTTGATAGCTCAGTTGGTAGAGCACTGAAGTGGTATCATAGACATCACGGGTGTGAATCCCTTTCAAGCCAGAATTTTTTGGGGGCTGTAATTTCACAACTGTGATGATCAATCATGTCTTCATATCTTTCTTGGCAGTTCAAATATATGATCTTTCAAGTATTCACTGGTAAAAATCCAATATCATGATTAGTTAGGTTTTGAAGTTCAGAATTTGTGTGTTACTGAAAGGCTCAGTAACCCAAAAAATCCTGTTTGTGTTGTTAAATATGTGATGATTTTTTAATCAACTCTTAGCAACCTACTGGTTATTAAGATTCACATGTCCTCATGGAAAAGCAATTAGCCCGTACTATAGGCCTGCAAAACACGCAAAGGGCTAAAACAAATTCCTTGCGCCATCTGCATGAATAGCACGCTTATGATTGCTTGGTAATAGAAGAGGGTATTTTTACCTTAAAAGCTAGTTTATTATAATCTTGTCCTGCTTGTTTTACAATGGTTCCCAGTTTGATAATGGGACAGAGAGGGTCTTTGTCTGGGTCATAAACACAGGTCTTCAGATCAGATTGAATGTTTCGTCTATAGGAAAAAGAACAAATTCAATATTTAACAATACATAATCAGGTAAAATGCTACAGGTGTACTTCATGTATGCAGTGATAAATCCAGTCAAGCTCCAAAGGGTGGGGCTGGGTTGTGTGTGTGTGAGGGGTGGAGGTGAACTAGAATGAAGGTTTAAAATGGGAAGGTGGGGGTAGGAAATGGTCTTTCAGCAGAAATTCTTTTGAGAAAAAGAAAGGGGTACTTAGGGGGAATTCCCTTAGAGTCACTACTGGTATGATATAAATAGGTAAGTATTACCATCACTTCATTCTGCTAAGCTATAAGGACTCAAAAAGGGGGGAAACTGAGATGGGAAAGATGATGGACATTATATATTAAGCATCAGGAGTGTGGATTAGAGGTGTCCTTCTCCTTGCACACATTATCAGTTATAATATTCCATTACCAATTAAAATGCAAAGCATTACGATTTACAGAGGAGATATGTTGCTGCTCTTGCCATTATTGCTTAATATATCAATTTTAGCACTTGGTGCTCTAAAACTGAAAATGGAACACAAAGAGAAGTTCTGGGAACAAGAGCCACAATTGGGGCTCATGACCATATAACTTTTTCAAATTCTTCCAAACTTCCACATTCAAGTTTGTATTAAGTCAATAGAAACACAGAGAAAGTGCTTTTGACTTCTTTTAGAGAGCACTACGGGACAAAGAAAAGAAAATCATTCAAACTACTCACTTTACTCACACCATCATTACATTTAAAGCTCTGCTGATTCTGTGTTTCTGTCTAGTTAAAGAGGTGAGGATTTGTTGTGATGTATTTTAATGATGAATATTCCATAACAATTTATTCCTTAGGGAACTAAGATAGTGCTTTATGCATACTTACCCAGACTCTTTAAACTTTGGAAACTGAACATTGTTCTTTATTAATACTGTAAAGTTCTCAGTTTCTAAAAGCGGAACACCATGGCTGGAAGGAAAATTATAATGTAGATAATTAGATGCACTCTATTATAGAAAGAAAACAATATAGTAAGTATTACAATCCATCAAATACTTTTTTGCCCTCACATGATTGGTCTAAACTATCATATGACTAAGTATGCCTCAGCTATATAAAACCAGGGAATATCCAAGTGATATTCCCCAATCTTCAAAACTGCGTGTGCTGAGGAAAACATCTGAAGGACGATAAAAACACAACGGTCTCCATTTGACTAAAGTCTATTTATCACACAGTGTATCACTGTAAGGCTCTGCTCAAGTGTGGGTGTGTACAGGATGACATGTAAAATCTGAGAGTAGCTGAGATGCCATGATCCTTCTTTGAAAATTCAAGACTAAGAAGTCAGAGATTGTAAACAGGAACAACCATTTGGTGTGACTCATCAACAAAGGCTTCAATCTGAGATTTTCTGTTAACAAAGTCACTCCTTCCATCTATAAGAAGTTTCTTACAAACGTTTTGGAATGGAGTTGTGAAAATGTTCCTCAACCCTTACCTCTCTGGAAACGGATGCAAGCTTAACTTTAATATTTAAGCTTGAAGAATGTCTAGTGCAAATCACTGCATAGATCGTATAAGAGTAGCTTGCCTGAGGTTAAAGTTGGGCATCGGTGTTATGTCAATTTCCACTGGACACCAGGCATAAATCTCACAAACTTTTTGATTAGGGTCATCTTGCGCTTTTGAAGTGTTGACACATTTTCCTGTCTTGATACCTAATGTCATAAATGAAAAAATTCTTGAGCCCTAACTTGATCACTCAATTAATACACATTGAGTGGTTCCAGAAAATGTCCCCACCCTAGAAGGGTTTACTCCATATTCCAAGGGGGAGGTGGTCTCAAAAGCCAAAACTTTTAAACTCAAGTATGAGCCAAACTGGAATTTCCAGAAGGTTGGGAGGTTCAAACCAAAAATCCCCACAAAGGGAGGGGTATGGATATCTTCTGAAACAATTTGCACATTAAACTCTTACACGTGTATTAAATTTTATGTGAATGGGATCTATTAAATCGCTACTGGTTGACAACATGGGTTACCACTTCAATAACAGAAATTTTGAGTTGCTCCACAGACGTCTTTTGATCCTACCAAGGGCATTGGGAAACATCTGGTTGATATACCTGACAAAATACTGGAAGAAATGTGTGATATATGGCAGATGGACTCGCCAATGTCCAATCCAGGGATGCAGAAATACATAGTGACCCTTCAAGTTACAGAAACTGTACAGGTACAGGATTAAAACTGAACTATGTAGTTCCAGTAAATATCCATACCCCCACCACGGAGGAAATTTCACGTGAGAACCTTCGCCTCCCCGGAATTTCCACTTTCTCAACTCAAAAATAACCTCCCCACCCCTTCAGAATTAGGCTCAATTAAGGGAAAGGAGCCCACACTCCTCCCCAAAGCCATGGTTGGACACATCAGGATTCTTTTGTTAGTTTTGGCCAATCAGATACCTGCCGGCAGATTTTTGTCGGGCATAAATTATCTTGTCAGATCAATGGCAGACGATGTGGAATTAATCAATGTGCCATACAAGAGAACTTTAGAAACATTTACAGTAAGATTGAAAGTTCAAAATAATTAAAAAGGGAAGCCCTAAAAAACTTAATCAATGACCAAGATGTGTTCTGTATTCAGCCAACAGGGTTGGGAAAATTTGAATCATATGGTGCCAGAATGTCAGATAACGAATAAAATCAACAAAGAGAAAGATAAACATATACATGATTGAGCTCAAGAGGCAAAAGTCAAATGGATGTCTTGTTGATGTAAAGTCTTGTGAAGGAAAGCGACACAGTCTGGTGACGCCTAACAAAAATAAATTTTCAAGGCCAACACAAACCAAAACTACCTGGCAAATTACAAGGTGTCAACTTAGCAGCAGAAACCATGCAGACCTAGATATGACCTTTGACATGATGTTTGCTACAAAACAGTCAAAGGGCTCTGCTCTACATAAAAGGCAAACTTTTTCTTAGAACACAGCATTAATGCCCTTCTGTGGCATTGATATCTAATAAAATAGGTTGAGATCAAATTTTTTTAAAAGTGGAAGGTGTCATGCTGGCCTGTCCAGGTTGTAATCAGATGTCATTTCTGGAGACCAGGAGTGCCGCATGAATTAAATTATGAAGTTACATCACAGACATGCTTTGTTGCTCCCGCATCCAGCTGTCTCTGCATGGGGAGGAATGCTGACCAGACATGAGAGAACAGTGGAAATCTAGCCTACTTAGGAATTTCCAAGAGTATTATCAACACCCCCCATACCCTCTGGAAAATTTCATTTTGGCAAGAAAGTGTGTTAAAGTTAAAGTAAACACTCCAAATGCAAGGCTGTCAGAGTGCGTTGTACATCACTCCTGTCTACAGTATTCTCGATTGATTAGGGGGTGGCGAATGGTAAAATCCGAGACTTGCTGAGACGCCGAGACCGTTGTTTAAAAATTCAAGACCGAGACTTACACGATTTTGAAAAATCCGAGCCCAAGACTCAGTGCAGAGAAAACCGAGCCCGAGACCTTAACTATACAAAACTCCAAGCCTGAGACGTGAGATTTGTGCGCTCTTGGTTGCTTGAAACTGGATCTCATTTAGGGAAGTAGTCAAACCTAATATACAATCAATAACTTGTAGTTTATTTGAACTACCAAAATAGCAGTCAGGGATAAACGCTAACTATTTAGTTATGCATTAACATTTCGATCTTTTTACGGCCTATCATGACCCGACTTTCAACTACTTTCGAAGTCATGCGCTGTCATCAACTTCCAGTCAGCTAGCTTCAAAAATCACAAAGCTTCTCATCGGCGATCATCCGTTAGTCTCTTGAGCTTACTACGCGATCTAACTTCAGCTGCTAAATATTGTTTGACCTTCCGTACTGGTTGATATAACTCATTATGGACGAGGAGAGGGTGGAGAATAAGAAACAGCAAAAACGCAAATGTAAGTAAACTGTTAACTTTGTAATTATTCATACATGATTATTCATGAAGACGCCCAGGCTTATTATTCTCGTGTCTTCAGAAAAAAAAGATGTATCTTGACTAGCTTTTGCTATTCGTAAGCATCCACGAAATGGATAAAAACCTAGGCTCAATACTGGAAGACGTTTGACTAGTGTTTGTAAGCTTTTGTAGATGAGCAGGCAGCACCACTGAAAATAAGCAGATGGCTGCAAAAAAACTGCATCGTTTGTTCAACTGACAGGTCTATGTGCTAAGGGAAGCTCACTGCATGTAAAATGTGGTATAAAAGTGAAGTCTTCACGTGTCAAGTGGCATAACATGCAAGGACGAGGAGTTTGACACGTGTTAACCCCTACTGAGCATTTTGTAAAGTTCCCTGACAGTTGGCAGATACCCATTTATACTCCTGGGTAGAGAGAGGCACTGTGAAAGTGGTGATCTGCACCGTTTACAAGGTTCTTTATAACGGGCCAAATGAAACAATAAAAAAATTAACAACAGGTTAACAACACAAACAATACCCCTTGCCCAAAGAACAAAAGAGTAGCAGATTAACAAGAATGAATCAAAATAGAGGTTCTAAAGAGGTGCAGGTCAACTGCTATGAAAGTAAAGACTAGTGTTTAGCTTGCTCTAGAAGGTGACACCACGCACGACTCACGAATGTGAAGTAACTTACCGCAAAGGACGAGGAGAGCAAAACGTTGGATTACCAAACACATGGTAAGAACACTACATAATGTAAGTAAAGCAAATTAAAAATAAAATATTGTGTTTGTTTTGCGAAATGGTTTTCTACAATAGCTTAGAATACACCGTCTTAGACATGCCGGTATATTCTAGACTACAATCGCACGTCCTTAGGCTAACCACTTATAAAATCTAAATCAAGTTACTTGAATTCTTTGACTTAATTGGCTAAAAATACAGTCCACTGACCATGTTTTCGTGCGATTTCAGCATCAAAGCGTGTACATGGTTATTGTCAGCAGAAACCTGATCAAATGAGCATGTGCACAGGCTGAGTGAATATAATAAGAGAAGCAAAGTAAAGAAAAGTAAAAGTTCCGTATTTCCCGCCGTTAGCGTAAACGCCATGCTTAATCTCAGCAACACTGACTGCTTGCTCAACGCGATACCTACCCAGAGAACCTCTGCTAAAAAGGCAAATCTGAGACTCCGAGACCTTGCGAAAAAAATTTGAGACTCCGAGACCAAAAGAAACACATGAAAAACGAGACTTCGTGACTCGTCAGGAAAACTTCCAAGATTTCGAGAACGCATCAAAAATTTCCGAGATCCACAATTTTCTGGGTACCATTCGCCACCCCTATTGATTGTAACATCTGAGGATATGTACTAAGAAAACATACAACAATTTATTAAACATGCTTTGCAGTAACAGCATTTCTACCTTAATAAAAAAAACTAATTTTCATGAAGGAAATTGATCGCCACTCGATTGATGTGAAAAGAACTAGGCTAGTCACCAGTACTTTTTGGTCCATAAGGTGACTTCATGTAGACTGGTAACATGAAATGGAAACCATGTCCATGAAACAGAAGGTTCTTCCCAATTGTTAGCTTCCAAATTGCTTTTTGAAGAAAGAAAACTTATTTCAAATTTAATGTGATTCAAATACAAGTATTCAGGCCACTATTTTTTCATGTGCAAGATCTACTTAGTAGGTAAGAAAGGATTTTTGAACAGCTAGATTGAATCTGTATGGAAATGATCGAAGGACATCTGGAAAATAAATTGACCATCCAACCCCCACCCCTCCGGAATTTCTTGGGTCTTTTAGCCTCCGCCCCTTTGGAATTTCCAATTCCCTCCGTGGTGGAGGTATGGATATTTTCGGAACTACACAATACACTATCATATTGGATGCAGCAAATGTTCCGGATATGAAGGAAAGGGCTGAAAGTACATAATAATCATTATTACAAACTAAATGTCGCCAGTTTGTGACAATTTCAGGAGAAAATCTTTGGAAAGGCTGAATTGGTGGAATGCTACTTTTGGGCTGAGAAGTTTCAAAATTGGATAACTCCAAGATTTTGATCATTTTAGGTTTGCATCTCTGTTTGTGGAACAACTTACCATGTCCATATTTGACTGGTTCCATGGCCGTACAATCACTGTCGTTAATACACTTCACATCAGAGAGTTCAGGGTCTTCTGGACATGTACCTTGTGTCTGATCAGGTGTAATGATCATGTTTGTCATCACAAAAAAAGCTCCATTTTCCTATGAGAAGAAATAGTCAGTTACATTTTGACAACTTCTAGGAAATGACAAATTCATAAAGGTGTGCCTTTGTCAAGTTTTAAATGACATTGAATCTAATCCTGTCTGTGCTTGACTTGTACAGCAATGGTATTGAACCCTCTCTCATACCATTGGATCTGCCAATCTCATTTCAGTGAGATGAGATTGGCAGAGGGATCTCTGCCAATAATATGGGTAAGAGATCTCATCTCACACCCATCCATGGTTAGCCTCAGTAACAGTCTAGTTAGCCTAAAAAGAACCTGAATTACCCCCCTCCCCAACCCCTGGAAAAAAGTTGTCATTACATGTAGTTAGCTTGCAGTTAGCCTTAGAGCCAGTATGGATTACTGGCTGGCATGGCTTGCTTGCTGTTAGCCTAAATAACACTCCTAATAGCCCATTAAATAGCACTCTGTTTAGCCTTACTTAGCCTAGGTAGCAAGTGGTGAGCCATTT